GCCAATAGGAGATAAGTTTACGAGAAGGTGGGATGCTGTGGGTTGGGCTTGGGTTATGCAGTTGGACAGCAATTTACATCAGCTTGAATTTTACAAGTATGGGAAAGGATGAGCGTTGCAGGAGCAGATTGAGTTAATCAGCAGTGAGTAGGTTTCTTGTTTGAAAGCAGGTCGAGAGGGGACGTCCCGAATGCTAGCAGGGAGGGCATTGTAGTATTCTAGGGATTTGTGCAGTGGGGAGGCTTTACAGCGGGCGGTTCTGGTGGGTGAGAGGTGCCAAGTGCTTTTGTTGTTGTTGTTGTTGTTGTTGTTGTTGTTGTTGTTGTTGTTGTTGTTGTTGTTGTTGTTGTTGTTGTTGTTGTTGTTGAATTCTTTATTCTCACGATGGCACCATTGCCAATAGGAGATAAGTTTACGAGAAGGTGGGATGCTGTGGGTTGGGCTTGGGTTATGCAGTTGGACAGCAATTTACATCAGCTTGAATTTTACAAGTATGGGAAAGGATGAGCGTTGCAGGAGCAGATTGAGTTAATCAGCAGTGAGTAGGTTTCTTGTTTGAAAGCAGGTCGAGAGGGGACGTCCCGAATGCTAGCAGGGAGGGCATTGTAGTATTCTAGGGATTTGTGCAGTGGGGAGGCTTTACAGCGGGCGGTTCTGGTGGGTGAGAGGTGCCAAGTGCTTTTGTTGTTGTTGTTGTTGTTGTTGTTGTTGTTGTTGTTGTTGTTGTTGTTGTTGTTGTTGTTGTTGTTGTTGTTGTTGTTGTTGTTGTTGTTGTTGTTGTTGGTGTTGTTTGAAATCTTTTATTCTCACGATGGCCTGTGGCCAATAAGAGAAGTTGTTGTTGTTGTTGTTGTTGTTGTTGTTGTTGTTGTTGTTGTTGTTGTTGTTGTTGTTGTTGTTGTTGTTGTTGTTGTTGTTGTTGTTGTTGTTGCTGTTGTTGTTGTTGTTGTTGTTGCTGTTGTTGTTGTTGTCGTTGTTGTTGTTGTTGTTTGTATATTTATCATTGTATTTGTATTTTATTATATTTAAGGAAGGCTTTGGGCCTGTCGAGGGATCTCCTGCAAGAAGAATGAAATGACAACTTTATGCAGAGGGAGCAGTTAATCGAGGATAGGCTAAGATCATGATGTCGAGTTTCACAAGAAAAAATGTACTCGGAGATAACTGTACTGTTCCAATACTACAATGCAGTGGTCTCAGGCGTCCAACGCAATCCGCAGGAAAAAAAACGCTTTTTTCACCAGACAATGTGAGCAGCACTCTCATGATCCAAGGAGAATGTGGTCAACCTTGAACGCGGTAACCGGCCGCTCCAAGGCAAGGCAGGACCCAGTGTGCGACGTTTCTGCGGTGAGCAGCTCCTTCAATAGTATTGTCACTGATCCAAGTCGTCTGGACACCCTACAGATACCCCATGGTCCCTGCACCCGCACCTCACTATCAGCTCTCACGCCAACGACCTGTCCTGCAGTACAGCGATTACTCGCCACAATCGATCCTGACAAGGCTACAGGCAGTGACGAGATCCCTGGCCGTCTGCTGCGAGCCTGCAGTGATATTGTTGCCCCGCACTTATGTGACCTCTTCGATGCCTCCTTGCATTCCGGTCCCCTACCGAAGCCGTTCAAACACGCCCTGGTAAAGCCGCTTTACAAAGCAAGGGACCCAACAGTCGCCACTAACTACAGACCCGTGTAATTATTTCCAATTGTTGCGAAGCTGCTCTAAAAGGTAGTACATCGCCAGCTTACTAAGGTTCCTCGCGGCAAACGACGTGCTGCCGACCACGCAATTTGCATACCGCACAAACCACTGCACTGAAGACGCTTTGGTACTCCTGACGGAGAACATTCTCCATGCAAAGGACGCGCAACTAGCCAGTGGTGAGTGTTTGCTGGACATGTCGAAGGCTTTCGACAAAGTCAAGCATGACATTCTTGTACGCGATCTTTTTGAAGTTGGCCTTCACGGCACTGCACTCCAATGGTTTGCAGACTACCTCGAAGGACGCACTCAACAAGGGCACATCGCTGGATCCATTGGTGTCAGTGGCACATGCTCATGTGGCGTCCCGCAGGGTTCCGTTCTCGGACCCGTGCTTTTCAACATCTACACCAGGCATGTGCCCACCATTGCCAGTCCGTCCCTCTCAGTGCAGTTTGCTGACGATATTGCTGTCACGTTCAGCCACCCTCATTGCCATGAAGTATCGCGAGTTCTCACAACGTCTGCAACCGAGATTGCTAACCACCTCCAGGAACGGAATCTAATCCTGAACACTAGCAAAAGCCATGTCCTGCGAATTTCCGGCCAAGACATTACTGTCAAATGCCGTGGAAACCCGCTACCAGCAGTTCCCATGCGAAGTACCTGGGCATCACGATAGACGAGCACGTTCGATTTGACGAACACGTTATCAATGCTGTAAAGAAGGCCTCGCAGAAGGTGGGAGCACTCTGGAGAGTCCGCCGTTGCCTTACAAGAAAGTCTAGAGAGGAGTACGTGAAATCCGTTTTGATGCCAGATTTGCTCTATGGGTCCGTGGCGTTCTCTGAGTGCCTTCGACAAGACCAGCGGTCCCGCCTTCAGGTCCAGCAAAACCGTGCGGCACGCGCCGTGTTCGGCCTGCCACCTCGCACAAGCGCCCAACCTCTGCTTGCTCGTCTGCAGCTGTATGGCATCGAAGAGCTCCACAAGCAAAAGACCCTTATTATGATCTGGCGTTGCTCGAATGGTCGGGCAAGCAATGCACTGCAAGCCCTTCTGGAGCGTCCCAGTACTCGAACAACGCGCGCGCTACGCAGCTTGGGCCTTCGAGTGCCCAAATCTGCCTCCAAAGCCGGCCACGACCGTCCAACCGCTCGCGGGTCCATTTTATGGAACACCCTGCCATCCAACGTGCGTAGTATTACCCAGTACCACCAGTTCAAACAAGCCTGCCTCCCATTCTGTCTTGCTAACAGTAGCACCCACTACTGAACACTACAGGAACCTTTCAACGTTTGCGGTACTCCACAGTACCAGTCATGTGCTGTTTACCGCCTCCCCCGTGTTGTATTCTAACGTTAACGTTATTCATTGACTGAGCGTTCTTTGCTTTGCACTACACCCTGCTATCATGTTAGACTATTTCCTACAATATGTTACTGTTTCCATTCGCTTCCATGTAATTGGGCGACATCGCCCGTTTGGTTCTGCGAATTCAAATAGAAATGTACTTACCCACAGTAACGTTAGCTGTTCTCGCCACTGTGATCTCTCGGATGTCTGGGATGAAGGGTCGTGAGGCCCACCCTAGCTACAAAGTACCCCGGAAATTACGTACTTTTCTCTTTCCCGACGGGTAACTTGATATCGGGGTTTCACTGGAATTGCACCTCACGGAGATACATGTTGTCTGTCCCTATTCGAAGCCTCCATGATCGAGACAGGTTTATATCAGGTGGACCTTCACCGCAGCGTTAGTGGTTACTATTCCCCAGGCTGCCCGATGGCTGTACAACGCTCATTAAACTCTCGGTGACAATGGCGTCGACCTTTCGTACCCTGATTTTCATTTTCTGTGTTGAATGCCAATTATGTGTATTATGCATGCGAAGGAAAACACAGCGCGAGCCCGATCCAATGGTCAAATGCTCTGCGTGTGCGGCGACCGTTTCTCTGCGTCAGATCACGCGCTATGAGCTCGCAGTATTGTCTCTCATGGCCGGTCCCGATAGCATTACGGGCTGTGATGAATAGATGGTAGCTTGGAATGTCCGGCACGGGAAGCGTCACCCGCGGGGCGCGGAGTCCACCAGAAATGGGTCCAGGTACTGAGAATCGTGCGCGTCGTATGGCTGTGTCTCTATTGACAAGTATTGTGATGTTTACCTTACTTCGATCTGCGACGCGAAGGCCTTCTAGTCACCTATAGCTATCGTGAATAAGACCATGGGAGGAGACTGGACATGTACATGGAGTGTTTTCCTTTTGTCAAAGGGCGTTTGCTGCACGAGACGTTAGACGTGTCAGGCTAAGCTGACCGTGGCTAATGTGCAACAGAGGTAGCGCGTCCAGGACTGGAGCGATCAAGCAGGACCAGCAAGCAGGTGTGAACTTCCCACACGGAAACTATCGGTTAGACATGACTGCACGTTGCCGGCATGTTTTGAAGTCCAAGCCTAAATAAAGTAATGGCTGGAGCTTAAACAGCCGATGCTGGGAGATTGTATATTGTATATTATGTAAAATGTACGTGATCAAGTGGTATGCTATGTACAATGCACGAAATAGTGGTTGCGACTTCGGCGATGATTTGTTTGAAATGGGTTTGCTCCCCACACAGGAGCTCGCGCTATTCCGCCGACTCGACTTGACACGTGAATGACTCACGACTGCCATCCAGAGCACACGAGAAGTTCCTCGGACTCGACACGTACAATATACAATGTAATACAAGTGCCGCAGAGAGGGAGACAGTGTGGAAGCTTTGTTACAACTCTGAGTTTCACGTATTACTACGATCAGCAGGCCCTACATGCCCTACATGGGCATTGAACACTCTTCGGACAGTGAAGCACACCACTTGACTACACTGATTGTAATACATGTTCTAAAGAGCCACTCGGGCCGACTCCTCGTGATCCGGGCCACTATTGCATTCCGGTTCTGCACTGCAGTACTGTACCGCCAACATAGCCTGTATATATACAGGCTTGACGCGATTACACAGCACCACACTGCTGCACAAAGACTCAAACTTAGAACCCTGATAGAGTTGGCATGCTACGAGGACCAGCTAGCACTAGTACAGACACAGGCACGCAACTGGTCCGATTATAGACATCGTTGGCAGGTGGTGGTGTAGAACTAGGAGTAAGGATAACGCGATTGACAGCCTGGTCTCCGGGACAGTGTCCGCGCGACAGGCTTCTGGGCGCCCGGGAATTCCCTGTTCTCCGTGCAAACATCATTCTCATTTGAGGTCTCAACTTTAGAAGACCAGCGCATTCCCAAATGCTTGACTTTGCTGTCATGCGAGACAGAAGAGAGCTCCTGGCCAGCAAAATCAGTTCTATAAGAATGGAATGGTAAGCTAACCTTGCTAACCACCCTGATCGAGAGGATTGCTTCTCGAAAGCGCCCAAACCTACAAGTACAAGTAAATTCCGCTCCCTGACGACAGGGAGAAGTTGTTTAAAAATGTCTGAACGAGTCGGTGAATCACGGAGGGTGAGCTTAGTCACCCAGCAACTGGAGCATGCCCTGCAGCTTTCCAACACGCAGCCCTTCGTTCGCCCACAGCAAGCCACAGAGCGACAACCGCCGCCGGTAGCACCCAAGAAGTGCGATTGTCCTGGACGACGGCGCAGTCGCACGGCCGATTCTGGAAGGAGCAGCGCAATATATTATGCAGAGGAAGCGGAAGGCTATGAGATACCTCGCGATACCGTCTCCAGTTCAGAAGGTCACGAATGTGCCGAGCGGGGCTCTCCACATTGCGCTCAACCAAGGTATCGTCACCGATCATCGGCTTTCTCGGCGCCAAAAGACATCAAGGGGTCAGGTAAGTGGTACATTTAAAGTGCCTTTAGTAATTGCAGTCACCGTTGTTGTATTCACGACAGTGAATCGTCATCATTTACGCCCCGAGCTCTTCCACGGTGTCATCATTTTTCGGCAAAGAACGTCTTCAGTAAATACTACATGTAGTGGTGGTAATCCAGTTTTCCTTGGAAGTCGTAGGAGATACATGTACCTGACATTGTACATTGTAGGTAGTACGCATTGTAGGTAGAACGCCATTGTAGGTAGAACACATTGTAGGTAGAACACATTGTAGGTAGAACACATTGTAGGTAGAACGCCATTGTAGGTAGAACGCCATTGTAGGTAGAACGCTGAATGAAGGGGCTGACTCAATAGTATAAAGAAGGATACGTGCCTGGGTATTTCGAAGCGATTGCATGACGGGAATCAGTAAGTCTTTTAAAATGGCCTGTGCCTACGTTGACGTTGAGATCAGCGAGAAAACCAGCGCATGCCGGGCAACGAAGAATGTGCACATGCTATATCAGCTGTGCAGGGATAGGTGCACTGCCCCCCCCCCCCCCAGACGTAAGGTCTAGGGATCATGGGGTGCAGCACGCATCGCTTCAAAGTTGGCTGTTTTACCTAAAATACTTGGAAGATGGGTTTTAAATATCTTTGATTATTATTGCATTTTGCGCTCATGTTTAATTATACGAGACGTGGATGGCAGTCGCGAGTCAGTCAAGTACATCTAACAAGTCAAGTCGACGGAAAAGCGCGAGCTCCGATGTGGGGAGCGAACACCTTTCTACATGATTGTATCTACACTCATGTCTAGCATGTACACAATTACATTGTATGTACATGTTTCGCTCCCTGATATCACAACGTATGTGTAGATTGGCAGCAAGATACCTTGCATTTTACTTTGTACATGAAAGAGAATGTACAGTACATTGTATGACCAATGGCAATGCATTATTGAGAACGTGGAGATCATTGAGGGACGGTGCATTGCATGGAAGGCAGAAGTACCGTGGATTTTTTTAAATACCACAAAAGCATATAACATGAATGCACTTCCATCCAACTCAAGCTGTTGTACAACATGACGTATTGCGGAGATGTGCAATGCACATGTACAGTGTACATGTGTATCGCCACAAGGATGCCAAAGATGGGTTGTCTGTGACGTCAACTGCAGATCCGTCTTAGTCCCTTGTAGCGCTTCTATTTGCATTTACTTTCCGGTTTTCTCACGGCAGAAAATGTGCATGTCACTTTATTTGGATGGGCGCCCAGAGTACAATCATGTACGTGTACATGTAGAAGGAGGCGAATGAATGGGCAGGAGAAGCTACCACTACCAGTACAGTCATGTACAGAGAAATACATGTACATTACTAGTGTATACGTGTAGCTGGTACTTTCCCTATAATCCTTGAAGCGACCCACCCAAGTTGGCCCTGTCACAAAGTTGCCAACTAGCTGTGGACCGCCGCGATGTGGTGTGGCAAGCTCGGGTGTCAAAACTGCAAATGTGCGCACGGGCTACATGCACATGTATAATGGTGCCTGCAAGCATGGCATGTCATGGCCTAAACAAGTCATTCATTCGGTAGGCACGCACCAACTGACGCTGATTTGTTTTCCATACTATTAACATACTAACACAATGTCATAATACATGAACATGAACATGTACATGGGCTCGGATGGAGAGCCAAGGATAAATTTGTAGAGTGGAATTTGCGAAGTAAAACAAAGTTAAAAAAATAAATACTTGTAGAAAAGAAAAGGTCGGTCAGTGTCGTGCAATGTTATCACATGACCTGATTGTTCAGTATCTGGTGGTGTTAGTGGACATTATAGCATAACTTGTAGTTCCTTGGTTCTTTTCTTTTCTATTTATTATTATTATTTAAAATTTATAATTATGCATTCCCGCGGCAGCGTCAACAGTGCAAGTGCAAACCACCCATGCACAAACACAGTCCACACGTTCGCTTATGCTGGACATGGTAAGGGAAGCAGTTGATATAGGAGACATAAAGACAACAAGCACAAACGTAGCTGTTAATTCCTTGTGACTTGTGTATAGAATGTGTTTAAAAAGTGTATTGAGCGATATTTCCGTGATCTGGGAAAAAGGTGACGGCGCGGTTTCATCGCCGAAACCTCTACTCGCAGATCATATCCAGTAGTTGCCTCCACTCGCTTCGAACTGCAGCTACATTGTACGTCTTATCGGCGCTCCAGATCTTCCAGGCTCTGCAATCGCCCGCACGCAGCTCGGTTGAGGTCGTCGTCGAGCTTCACCGGCAGGGTGATGCGAGGGCGGTCTCTCCACTTGCGGTCATCACATTCAATGTAGCTGACCATGCTTGGGACGGCGGGGGTATCACTGGGAAGTCGAAGGATATGGCCAAATAGCCTCCACCGAGCTCTGGTGATGATGCGGCTGATCGGCTCTGCCTTGCACCTGTCGTAGAGTGCTGTTGTTGCGATCGTCTGCGGCCAGACGAAGCCGATCAGTGAGCGGAGCTGGCCGGTGGAATGCGTCGAGTCCACCCTCGGCAGCTGCCGTCAATCCCCATGTGCCGGCGTTGTATACTAGCACTGGTAGTACAAACGCATTGTAGAGACGAAGCCTCAGTTCTTCTCCAACGGTACTGCGCCGGCTTCATAGTGACCAGAGCGATCTAAACGCTGCAGCGGCTAGTTGTTTCCACCGAGAGACATCCTCGTTATCCCCGAGGAGTGACCCACCCGCGCTTCTTGGTGGTGCGCCACTGTTCCGCTAACCTGTCCAGGGATCGGCTGAGAACGGTAACTTCTGTTTCTGTTCTGATTCTTATCTATACATGTACAATTGTTTGTGTAGAGGTACATGTACATGTACATGTACATACATGTACATGTACATACATGTACATGTACATGTACATGTAATTATAATTATAATTCACATACTTGCGAGAATTCTCAGACTGCCTAGACTAGAATGCTCAACATCACAAGGAGGAGCAATATGAAAAAGGCTGAAGAGAACAAAGACAACAGGCTAGAGCTTGTCTCTGTTCTCTTCCGCCTTTTTGGTTTAAAATCGTTATTTTTTGAAAGTACATGTAGATCAACTGAGGTTCATGCCCCCCCCCCCCCACACACACTCTAGTAGTAGTGATTCAGATCAGGTGCCGAGTCAGCAAATCGGATACTAGCACCCAGGCTGAGTGGTGGTGACAATGGACACCATCACGACCTGCTGGACGGTGGGGGTCTGTCTGCGTATTGACCAGCGCGTGCGTGCGTACGTGCGTGCGTGCGTGCGTGCATGCACCTGAACTTGTATTATGTACATGTGTGTTTGTGTCTGTGTGTGCACGCAAAAGGCCTATTTCCGTGTGTGCATAATCGTACAAGTATTATGCAATGTGTGTTGTGTACAGGTGTTAATTGCGTCCTGGCTGATCCACCATGCCCCAAGCTTGTTTCACATCAGGCGGTCAGCGCCCAGCTGAACAAACAGCTCCTGAGAATGCCGAACGCCACATCTCAACGCACCGTGAGTGTGATCGGGTTTATTCACATGTACACTTCTCCAGAATGACCTGATCCAAGCCCTATCAATGTGTTCCGTCGGTAAACCACCCCCAATTGTTATTATTCGGAAAGCCGGGCATGTAAAATTGAGCAGCGACAATTCCGGGCAAACATCCTGGCGACAACCTTCCTTCCTTCAACGGCGTGTGAACCCTGACGGAACATCACAATCAGCCTGGTGTCTGCGCTATTTCTCTTTCCGACTCGAACTTCATGTCTCTTTCTATGTCTTTATCTCTCTCCGATTCTCTCTCCATCTCTCTCTCCTCTTTCTCCCTTACTATCCATTTGCCTATCAGCTTGTCAGTCAGCCTTCTGTCTATTTAAACTACATTATGACGTAGCTGAGCCACACAATAGTAGCAAAGGACCTACATGTAACTCTGACGGACACTAATAGACATGTACTAGTTGATATCGACAACCAAACGTTTTCTTCAAAACATGATACAAGTAGATAAGTGAGTTCCTGTCTGCCTTTTGGTCCTGCCTGACGGTTGTTCGTCAGTCTGTCCGTTTGCCTTTGTTTTCCACAAAGGCGAGATGGGAATATAAATAATAGGAATGCTTTCATTTAAAACAATTTGCTTCGATATTATTATATTGAAGCAATAATTTTTTAAATGAAAACGTTACTATTGTATTGTTTTGTATTGTTTTGATTTATTTGAATTCGGTATCTCAACAGTACAATGAACAACTTGGGGATAATCCGAATGACAACGTCACTGCCTGGACACACACCATGTCGCTGGGGTAATAATGATACTGTGCGACTTCGACACCAGGCTAGCCCTTTCCCAAAGATGCTCGCCACTTGTTTCGCAACTTTTCGATGTTTAGGAAGAAATCGCAACTTTCGCAACTTTCTTCATTTTCGCCAACTATTTCGCAGCTTTTCCGAAACCTTGGCCCTAAGATATGGGGTCAAAAGGTCAAGTCACGGACTGCATGTCGGACAAATGCATACTCGCTCATTTCTCACCTGCCTTCAGACTCATTTCAGAGAAATAGTAGATCAACGGTAGTTACGATAATGTGCCTTCCTTTTTCCGCACACTGGAATAATGTAGGACACATGCAACAGGCTACTGGCACTGTGTAAAGTGGTGGTTCACAGCAGGTCCTGAGCAGGAAGGGGTGTACGAGTTTTCTGTCGCTGCATTTCTACTAATGCGCATTTCTGCTCCTTTTTTGGTGGTTTTTGCACAAGAACTCTCGAATTTTAAGTTGCGATATTTGCAACTTTTGAGCTTTTTCTGAAAGTATGGATGCGATTTCAGCAGCTAGCACTTGTTTTGGCACGGTTGCGAAAAGCATAAGTTGCGAAAAATTATGGCATCTTTGGGAAAGGGCTACACCAGGCGCCCTACTTCGTGTCTTTGTCACTCGAAATTAGAATAATAATAATAATAATAATAATAATAATAATACCATTACGCTACCCTGTTCGGAAGCCTTATTGGTACTATCAAGAGTAGATAAACAAGAGTGTGCAACTCCGGATCTCTCCTGCACAATCTGCAGATACGCGGGGTATTCTGCCCACGGCGGAATTTTTTGTTTACGTCACCTTTTTTCAGAGGAACGCGGATTTTGCCGCAGAGCAGTTTGAGAGCACGTGCTGGGCACCGACCTTGTAGTGTAAAGCCCAGCCAAGTGCACGAGGGAAAACTCTCCAAAAGGCTCGCAGCGCGTGCGTCGTCGAAAAGATTACGTCAACAAAAAATTCCGCCGTGGGCCAACCCATCCGCGAGTTGCACACTCTTGTTTATCTACTCTTGGTACTATGTTCTTGCTTGCAGGCTTCTGAAAGTCCACAACGACCGCCAAGGCGCAATAGCGATGTTCAGACTACAGCCCGCAATAGAGAACCGGAGTACGAAAACACTCAAAACGGTAAGCCGACGTTGCTCTCTCGTCAACTCATTATTTTGACCAGCACAATAATTATCGTAAATTAGGCAATTCATTTGATATCATGCAATCATGTACTTGCACATGTACAGTACACTGAATGTACCAATGACATGTAGTTCATCGCGATTCACCGCCCACGTGTACATTGTATGTGCTTACTTTGCTGGACTGTTCAATACCCCTCACTGAAGGCATGTAATATGTTTAATTGAAGACTCATGCAGCTTCCGATATTCTCAGGCCGAAACAGGAATTAGTATAGAGTACAGCAAGTACATCGCGTGAAACGTAAAGGACATAAGATGAGGTGATGAGGGTAAGTGCCGGCAATTCGAAAAATAGAATAAAATTATTATTAAAGGTAGTGTATCTGCTACAAAGGCAGAAAAATGATCTCGCCGATTTTCTTTGTTCTCTGCCGCCTTTGTGGTATTGCTCCATTCTTGTGGTATTGAGCGCTCTAGGCAATCTGGGAACTCTCGCTATTGTGTATTGTATCTGCTACATTGTGGGTGGTTTCTTTTCTTTTTATTCCACAATCACGGCGATCTAATTCCCGTAAACACGTGATACGGGCGATGTTAACCAGCCATGGTGTGTGCGTGTGTGTGTGTGTGTGTGTGTGTGTGTGTGTGTGTGTGTGGTGTGTGTGTCGTGTGTGTGTGTATGTGTGTGTGTGTGGTGTGTGTGGTGTGTGTGGTGTGTGTGGTGTGTGTGTGGTGTATGCGTGCGTGTGTGTGTGTGTGTGTGTGTGTGTGTGGTGTGGTGTGTGGTGTGTGGTGTGTGTGTGTTGTGTGTATGTGTGTGTATGTGTGTGTGTGTGTGTGTGTGTGTGTGGTGTGTGTGTGTGTGTGTGTGTGGTATGTGTGTGTGTGTGTGTGTGTGTGTTGTGTGCTCACAGTACGCCCTGCAATACCTCCACGACACCGTTCGTCTTCATCGCATAGATCGCGCACGGCATCACTAGAATCCGAATGTGCCCAGTCAATCCGTAAGTAAGCCGTGCCCAATTTTTTCCTCTTTCTGGAAGCACATCTGTGGCATATTTCGATCTGATTAAGCACTTACGTACATGTCATCGCGTCTCAGCCTACTAGTATTGTATTTCAGGAGACTAAAAGAGAGCCAAAAGGCTACATCCATACAGTTCCTGTGATCTTTGGGACATTTATCTCAAGAAAAACAGAAAAGCGGATCAGAGAAACAGAAATACATAATCATATTCATAGGTTTGAGGGAAATTATATATTATCATATTGCGATGCATTTGTATGAAATGGGCAACAGTTAGCATACTCCAGGTAACAGCTAGGTCGTCGTGTCCTACATGCATATCATTTAGAGAGGATTTCTTTTAAGTTAATGACTTAATTCGTTCGCTATTCTGCACATGTGCCTGTGTTGCTTGCAGCATCCCCGCCGCCAGTACATGCCCGGCACCGTTCAGCCACCCCAAACAGGTCCCTTGCACCACTGCCGTCATCCGAGTGCAATGGGCCACAGTCAGCACCAAGTACGCCTGCCCCGCTTCGGAAAACTCCTCCCCGCTTGCCTAATCAGAAGACGCACCATCCTGACATCAGGAAACCACCACCGGAGCCAAACCCATCATCAGCAGCAGCAGAAGGTTAGTTGGGCTTGTCACGTGATAACGAGACCCTTGGTCGGCTTAGCCGATCTTTCTTGTCCCGCCTCCACTACTTCGACTGCCATTGCAATGTGTCGCTCTGTTATTTTCTTGCATGTTGGCTTGTAGCTATCTTGTCAAAACAAAACCAAAAACACATAAAAGCGCTTTGATCTCCAGGCAGCTGACATCACAGGTCACAACCAAAGTCAACCTTCAGCGTGTTCGCTGTACATGTACTAAGATATCATCGCGTTCAATGCTCAATATGATTATTATCCCGAATACATGATACACATACATGACTGTATCATCCGGGATCTGCAAAGCGTAGAGAGAGAGGACGCTAGGTTGCAGCTTTGAGCTTCACGTTTATTCACCAAAACCAGACAACCGCCATGGTGGTCCGAAACAGGTTGCCTGTGCGGCAGGCCAGGATTTGAATGAAAATTCTCAAACTTTGTGACTTAGAATTCATGTTGCTCGGCTTCGGTGCATTGACAACCCAGGAGAGATTAATTTGTCCCATTTTGCACCTCTCGTGTTTGACGCCGCAAATCCGACTGTGTTTTGCTCTTTTGTTAGATGCAGATCTGCGGCAGGTAGACATCGACATAGCTGATATTGCGCACAACGTCACGAAGTGTAACATCGACCAGGTGTTCAAATCAGTTTACAAACTGGAGAGCTTGGCCTTGAGGCTGGAGTACCCCGCGGAGATGATTGCCGACATGAAGGGGGATATCTCACAGAGCGCAGCACGCGGTCAATGCTACGGCGATCATATCTACAAGATGCTGAAGAACTTTAAAAGCAAATGTGCCGAGCGCAGAGAAAGCGATATCACCCAGAAAATGGTCGGTCTGCTTGTGGACAATGGTTATGGAGCGCTAGTGACTGGGGCCGGTGAGTTCTGATATGCCGCTATGTTGTGTTTGTGCTAAAGAATTCAATTTCATGGATTTAATTTGGGTTAACTTACTTAATGCTGAGCCAAGCTGAATAAAGTAAAGCACATCACGAGAGACCAGAAAGGCTATTAGTCGGATATCCATTATAGGCACCACTACATTAAAACCTGTAACTAAAGACCACCGTGACTAGCGACCAGCCTGGTACTAAAGACCACTCTGCCGGGCACGGACGGTCTCACATTCATATACTATGGCTGTGCGGTGCAAACCTCTAGCTAAAGGCCACCTGCCACTAAAGATCGCTTTCTCTGGCCCCAAGGGGTGGTCGTTAGTCACAGGTTTTACTGTATAAGTAGATGTAGAAGGTATGAGGCATCCTGCAGCTTCGTAACTCAAAGAGAAGTGGTGAGCACACATGCTCTTTCCCTGGGCACTGCAAAAGTCACAAAATGTTGCATCCTGATCATGGAAATTTGCCGAAACGTTGAAAAAATGATTCTGTGAAATGAGTTGTGATTTTTGCAGTGCCCGGGGAAAGAGCATGTGTGCCTGGTTTGGTTTGGTTTTTATTATTTCGGTTCGTTGCCTCAACAGTACAACTTACAAATATCAAGAGGGACGAAAAGAAGCTCACCACTTCTCTTTGACTATAAATAAAATCAATCGAATCCAATCATACGGCGAGAGCCGATTGCAAGCATGTCACTATGTAACATGTCAATGGTTATGTACAATACAGCTCAATGAGCAGAGGTCGGCCGCAACAACAAGTACACATTTGCAAGTACAAGTACACATTATGTCCATTGCGAATTGAAGCTGTGGATTCGGCATGTTCTTGGTTCGCTTGGACGAAACATTCAATTTGTATGGCGATATAAAGAACTGCTAGGACTCCAAGTATCATCAAGAGTACATAAACCTCTTGGTATCATGCATGAACGACCATCAGACAGTGATTGGTTGCTTTTCGAGTTTCGCACTAAGGGAGCCTTTAGCCTAACCTTCAAGCTTTAACCAGCATTCAATGTTCTTGCCTGGTATTGTGGTCCGCTCCAGATGTGTCTCCTATGCCTGTGGCGGCTTTCTACCAGTATCAACGTATCGTGGGACCTGAGCTCACAGTTTCTAAGCCCGCTACAACGCCTAAGGAGGACAGCGGCTTCGGCAGCGAAGGCAGTGTATGCGGCGGCCGGCGCGGCTCCATAGTGTCACAAGAGAGTGGAACAGGCCTAAGGATGTCTGCAATATACCAGGAGAGGTCGCCCAATGGACACGACGCCACAGGGCCGGAAGAGTGTTACATTACCTCCCCCAGTTACTCTGCCATTCCAGAAAGTCGTCACGAAGAGGAGGATGGCGAGCCGATGTACGAACCATCGTATACGTACATTATGCACCAGGTGACACCTGGGCAGAAGTAGGTTTCAACACTTAGCGTCATTAATAAGCCGGGACTTCGCTACCTGTCCGATAATTTTGCCGGAGCCATGCGTTCTTCTCTTTAAACTATACTTTCCCGAATCGGGAAAGTATATAATCGAAACCTACCCCTAACATGGCGATCTTTCCACTATGACATTTTTTAATTATTCAATTGAAAGACAATGAAACGGAAAGTACGTCTCGTCCAAGCCAGCCATTTGCCATGACGACACACACCTTTGGCATGAACCATCCGAACCAGGCATTCACACTTCCAATGTGTCAGTTCCTAATGAAAATGTAGCAATCCCGCACTGCACATTTCTTTCGTTTATTTGTCTCGTTCTAGTTGAATAGTGTTGGTAAAATCCCATCACACTGAGAAAGTCTTAATATTATCACGTTAATTGTTAAACACCTCATTCTTACACATTGGTCGAAGAGATTGGTTATAAATAGCTAACAGATCACGCCCAAATTATCACAATTATCTTCTTTCCTCTTCATAAAACCATTTAGATACAGTCCTGAGTGATACGTTACTCTCCCAGTTTTCGTATTGACATTCCTTAACGAAGCCGCAACCATTCATGGCTACAAGTTTTATTGTTCGTCTTCGAATTTAACCTCTACAAACATCAGTGGCACACTTGGCGTCGCCATTCCTTCATCCTGAATGGTGAATATCCGAACGTGCTTTTTTTTATGAAAGATATAATTGCTATGTGCGTGTACTCCTGCGTGCATGAAAGCATGGGCCCTAGCATTAAATAATACGTCCGTTCTCCTATAACCTTCACGAACCTGCACTCTCACACAAATCGCAGAACATGAGTGGATGAGATGTAAAGAAAAGGACCAAGATAGCCAGTTAGTTGTAGAATGTCAGTACTGTCGGTCAGTTTTGTGCAATGTTATCGAATGAGCTGATTGCCAAGTAACTGGTGGGGCTAGTGGACAATATAGCGTAACTTGTACCTAGTTCCTACTCTTTACTATAAATTCATTGTGAAGAAGAGGTTGGTGCGACTTCAGCGATACTTGGGGAATTGTGTGTTGCTCCCTACATGGGGCTCACGCTACTCCTGCCGACTTGGATTTTCACTTGACTGGCTAAAGACTGCCATCCAGAGTACACGAGAAGTCCATCGAACCGTCCACTCGGTAAACCTGCAAGAAAGCACCAACCCCTGCTCAATACACAGTGTTTCGGGGAAATCGCCCCTCATCAGTTGAGCTTGGGTAGTAGGTTGAGGAAAATTGTGTCTCAAGAGCACCACTTACATCTACATGTACAATGTACAAAGCGCTCTGCAGGCACAAACATCACCAGGAATACAAACAAAATTTTACTTACAGAGACGCTCTGTTTCCAGCGCGACAAACACCTCGTGAACACCAGATGGCAGCGTGAGTCAGTGTCGATTTCAGCTCCAGCTGCTCCCCACTTCCTCCACTACAATGCTGAAGGCGGTGACGGAACTGGGGAGGAGCTGGAGCTGAAAATGAACCTCAAATTTGGTCATGCATGACACACATTTTTGCAGTCATAGCAAAGTAAAATATAATACTAGTTTCCAGAACGTTTCCGTGTGATCATCATCACTTTACATCTTCTCGACCATTGTTCAAATTTGGTGTGGTGAGGTTTTCTCCAATTTTGGCTTCCACTCTTTACTGAGATGAGTTCTCGAAATTGTGCTGATTCTAGCTTTCCCTAATGCTACTATATTGTACATGTACAGGTAGTGGAGCGATGTTGGTAACAAATATAAAAATACAGCTGGCGAAATGGCCTGCATGCTGGCTCAAGAAAGGTAAACAACTAACTTCCACTGCTGTACTGGGACCACCAGCAGTGTGTCACTTGGACACGGTCGTTCCTACTCATCACCCGACCTGAAGCATGAAACATGAACGCAGATCACCCGATGGTGTAGATACACTGGTGTGCGAGTAGTCGTACTTCTAGTACTAGCATTATAATTTTCAGCATAGTCTTTCGAAATATCATTGGACAGCATACGGATGAAGGTCAATGTACTACGTGTACGTGTTGTCAAGTAAGGATTACTCGATGAGCTCCCTGGGCTTCGTGGGAGCTGTCCAATGACGGTAAACAAGGGCCCAATTGTAGCCGCATAAGGATCTTTCCGAAGGGAAACATCTGATTGGTCAGAACCCCAGGCGTGGGCAATTCAACCTGACTTTTTTTGGAGCACGTTGAATGAAAATTGTTGTCAAAACACAGCACCGAGTTGACAGGAACGTGTGCAGGTGGTTGGAGCTCAGTTGCCGCGCGTCATAACAAACGAATCACTGGTACTACGGCACGTCGAGTCCACATCTCTCAAACAAGCGCATGTATACGACTCGCACATATCATTACCGGGCACGCGGTATACCGGTAGTCGTAGTCGGTCTACAAAACGACAACAGTCCTGTAGTCACAGCTTCTGATCTTCATCCGCAGTAACAGTAACGTAATGCCGTACTACTAGTAGTAGTATGTCTTCTCTGCTTGCAGTTTGACATCACTGACACAGCGCGCGATATAACAGGCCAGGGTTCGTACAGTCATCGAACTAGTCAGTGCAACAGTCAGCATTTGCATGACACGCCATAGGGATACCTATCCATCCAGTAGTTTCTGGACGTTGCGGCATGAGCCACAAACCCCTACAGCGGCCACATGTACGGCTGATGCTTGCTGCTGCTGACATAGCCCTGCGAATTTCTGCAATGCTGTCAACTCTTTCAAGAGCGTCATTGAACTGTCAAAATGGCGTGGAGGTCGCGTCATAACACATGATTAATATGCAGCTTCCGAGTAAGTTCGATCCCTTCGCATCTATCGATTTCAACGTTTGACGTTCTGCATCAAGCGAATGCAACTTCTCTCGACGGAGAGTAATTTCAACTGCTGTAGATGACAAAGGAACACGTGCTTGGCCTATGTCAACTCGCGGAGACTTTTCTCGAATCTATCGCGATCGCACTAGACTGACTAGTATTAGTGCTAGTATCGAGGTCTTTCCGGGTTGTTTCCAAAGGGCAGATCCACTGTCAGGCAGTAGAACTAGAAGCGAACATGCAATGATGTCATTCATCACCCATAGCCTGGTTTTGCCATGGCTAAAGAGATCACTGATCACTGATAAGTACTAGTAGTAGAGTCTACACTGCGAAAAATTCCCGGTGCCACCTTGTGACCTACACTATACTAGCAGCAGACCTACCACATTGGTAGCAGCAGCATGCGCGCGCGTCCGAATCCAACACAGTATCAGATAAAATGTACACCAGAAAATGAAGAGTACGTTAGTTTGTTCTTGACTTCCATCTTCTTGCATTTGAATTATTGCTCTTCACAGTTTTGGTGTTACTGAGTAATGCATTGTCGTGGCAAGACTAGTCTCTGCAATATCCTCCACCTGTTTCATCCTCAGTATTGCCCTGGTGTATGGTCGAACTCGATACACTATTCCTGTAACGATTAGTGATAGTTCGTTCAAATTCCAAACTGACTAGAAGACGCAATGGCAGAACACAATGCAGCCGCTCGCAGGTCTGACGTGCCTCACTCCCCATCGCCAGTGCCAGTGGATTGCCACGATATTCCTTATGAGGTGAGGACGAGCTGGAACGCTGAAGCCCGTTTCTTTCTATCAGCTATGCGCTGCACATTGTTCAGCCCTTTGCAAAGGACTGCATCATGGTTTTGAAGCGCAGAAATATCACAGACAGTAGCACATAAAATCCGACCTGTGCAAAGCATCAATGATAGCCCTAGATCACGTGGCATGAAAAGTATACTATAATTTTAAGTATAAAGCCAGAAGTATCTCATGCTGTAACATTTTCTATCGAAGTAGTCAATTAAATTGGTTCACCATTCGAATAATATTTTCTGTTCATCCGAAGATCGGGGTTTCGTAGCGTTTTTAAATCAATTGCAATATCGGTCAGTTTCGTGCTCTCCTACAAGTGCTTAAACAATAATAATCAATTCGCTGCCCAAGTCGCGGCACAGCGATGTAATAGCCCGCTGTATACACGGTGGCCATAAGCGGTTCCGCTGACTCACCACCATGACATCATTCACATAACGTTTATTGTTTTTTAATTTTAATTTTATTTTATTAGCACTGTCTAATAATTACAGTGAGGAATCCGGCCACAACGCATTCTTCCATATACACACAAATACATACGAATAACAAATACATACGAATAACAAAGCCCTAAAAGAAATGCTAAACAGCAATAGCTGCCTCTGAAACCGCCAGTGTGGCGGGAGGCTCTTGTTAATCAACGAGTCTGTGTTGATATTTTCCAAATAATGTTCCAGAAGCCACACTATACAAATGACCTTTATAGTACATGTACTGGTAGCATGTTGTGTTCAATTTCGGTGTAAGCTGCAGTTACAGAAAACTAAACCCCACCAAAATGCCTGATTCAACAGTAGACAGCTGCTTGTTTCTGATAAGGTATTCGACCACATCAGCCATTCCCCACCATTCAATAACCTTAAAAGTGTTACTTTGGCCCCCACCTGCCTCTCTATAAATGTGCTGCTTTAGATCATCCTCTGAGGAAGTTGGTTGCTCCCACACTGGAGGTCGCGCTTTTCCCGCCGACCTGACGTGACACTTGCTTGTCAGACCCACTGACTTAATTCATTCTGGCCTACTTGGTGTTTACAGGTGTTTCCAGTTCAGGAGGAAACCCAGATGCAGACGGGTTCATCTCCACTGTGCCATTGTTCAGGCAGCTCCCGGAATGGTTATCCACTCATGTTTCAGTGCAGTAGCTGCTGTGCACCGTTGTACACGCCCCCACCGCGCCCACAAGCACATGGCCAGCAGCACCCAGCGAATGCTTTTCATCCCAGACCGGGAGCAGAAGAGGTCGGGTATGGATTTGCACCGGCTGGTCACGAGCCTTTATTAAACGGTAAGATCGAGTGTCATGCCATCAGATGCTGTTACACAGTAGAAGAAAGTTGTAGCTCCCCATCTATTTGAAGTAACTCGGCACAGGATTGTTTTATATCATTTAGACTGTGGAGGAGGGATGCCGAGATTCTAAACAGATTTACCACAACACTTTCAGATGTATGAAAGGAAACGGCTGGTCCGGCATGATGTTTTTTTGTGATTCGCTCTCCGACCAGGAAAGTGCTTTGCGAACATCTTTTAGTCCCTTCTTGTAAGGGACTCTGCTTACTTGCCATATTCTCAAATTTGTATCTTTAATTGAAGGAGCACCGGGACTGGTCCTTTCCCTAGGACTTAGAAAATGCAATTAACTGATGCTGATGTCTAAACCATGTGTATTCTGTGCATCCGTATTGTATTCCTGCAGCTGGCCTGATTTGTCAGCGGTGCAATTTCGACTCCATAAGTTTCACCACGTTGTGCATGCGCATGCAGCGGGAGCCTATTCTGCTCGATACCCATCTTAGGTTTCATAACGTGGGTTTGTACCTGGGTTTCTCCGACCAGTACCTGGATGGATTCCTACGCTTCTACGTGATGCACAAGAACGATTTCGGCCACTTGCTGTTCTATCTGCTTCGCGTGTGGAAGCGGTACTTGCTATGGCAGAGCGGCAAGGATCCATGCAGGTGCCTGCTCTCAGTTCTACGCATGGCCGGTGAGCCAGATCTTGCTACGCTTTACGAAGGTAAGGCGCACTTCGCCGCACGTTGCTCTCTTTGATGACTGTATTGTTCTCTTGGTGTAGGAACTTGTGAAAACAATATACTGATCACTCACACACTCACCGAATATTTGGCGAGATTGAAAG